TCTAGAAGGCACAATTCTTAACGGATTTTGACGAAACTTGGTGTGAGTGTTTGTAATCGAAAATCAGAAAAATTGAAAAATATTTATTGCCCATGTTCTTGAAAACGCGTTCAATTTTTAGTCTGTAAACAGTCTAGATGGCCCAATTCTTGACAGATTTTGATAATATTATTCAGTATCGCCTCAAAAAGTTCAAAAGATGTGTATGTCTGAAGGTTGAATATTTCATTCTGGTAATTGTTACTGTACTGCTAAATATTTTTATTTAAGATCAAAGCTGCCAGTGGGCGTATATTACCTTGCCTGGCAAGCTATCTTTCACCTTTGAATCAAATCTTTGATTATATATAAATTCATAGTTTATCTATTGGGTTCAGTATTAAATTTATTTTCTGAATAGCTTTTGAGACATAACCTAGTGCTCTGTATGAAGCGAAATTTTCTATGTATATGTAGGTTTTATGTACCCATGAAACAGTTGATCCATAGTCTTATCTACAAGGCAGTCTGTTTAAATGTTAAGATTAACATGCTTCAAAGCTTGTCTCTTGTAATTCCTTTTTCCCATATACAAAACATGTTTTAATATTTTTATATCGCTCTACAAATGGCGTATTCAGCACAATTTTATCATTGTACATTACATGTTATTCAGTTAATAACATTATCATATGTACTATAACTTCACGTTTCCATTGTATGCTTTCTATACTACTCCATAAATGGTAATAATTCTCGGCTATGCAAGTTGATACACCAGTGTTCCTTATGTTTTCAATTTTACATGATAGTCGCTTAATGTAGTCATATCGTGTTGTATTTGTTTGAGATCAGCACATAATACTCTGTTGTGTATCCAGGGTCTGTACAAACTCTCTTGTGTATTTTCGATCATTATAAACTACTCTCTTGTCTTGAGTATTCAAGAACAAATTACTCTCATATCTATCCACGATCAGTAAAAACTACTCTCATGTATATTCAATATCAGTACACACTATTCTCATGTATATTCAATATCAGTACAAACTACTCTCTTGTATATTCAATATCAGTACAAACTACTTTCATGTATATTCAATATCAGTACAAACTACTCTCATGTATATTCAATATCAGTACAAACTACTCTCTTGTCTTGAGTATTCAAGAACAAATTACTCTCATATCTATCCACGATCAGTAAAAAAAACTACTCTCATGTATATTCAATATCAGTACAAACTATTCTCATGTATATTTAATATCAGTAAAAACTACTCTCATGTATATTCAATATCAGTACAAACTACTCTCTTGTATATTCAATATCAGTACAAACTACTTTCATGTATATTCAATATCAGTACAAACTACTCTCATGTATATTCAATATCAGTACAAACTACTCTCATGCATATTCAATATCAATACAAACTACTCTCATGTATATTCAATATCAATACAAACTATTCTCTTGTATATTCAATATCAATACAAACTATTCTCATGTATATTCAATATCAGTACAAACTACTCTCATGTATATTCAATATCAGTACAAACTACTCTCATGTATATTCAATATCAATACAAACTACTCTCATGTATATTCAATATCAATACAAACTACTCTCATGTATATTCAATATCAATACAAACTATTCTCATGTATATTCAATATCAATACAAACTACTCTCATGTATATTCAATATCAGTACAAACTACTCTCTTGTATATTCAATATCAGTACAAACTACTCTCATGTATATTCAATATCAATACAAACTACTCTCATGTATATTCAATATCAATACAAACTACTCTCATGTATATTCAATATCAATACAAACTATTTTCATGTATATTCAATATCAATACAAACTACTCTCATGTATATTCAATATCAATACAAACTACTCTCATGTATATTCAATATCAATACAAACTATTCTCATGTATATTCAATATCAATACAAACTACTCTCATGTATATTCAATATCAATACAAACTACTCTCATGTATATTCAATATCAATACAAACTACTCTCATGTATATTCAATATCAGTACAAACTACTCTCATGTATATTCAATATCAGTACAAACTACTCTCATGTATATTCAATATCAGTACAAACTATTCTCATGTATATTCAATATCAGTACAAACTATACTCTCTTGTGTATCCAAGATCAGTACAATCTACTCTCTTGTGTATCCAAGATTAGTACATCATACTCTCTTGTGTATGCACGGGCAGTACATCACATTCAAGATCAGCACATAATATTCTCTTGTGTATTCAAGATCAGAACAAACTACTGTCATGCACCGACTTTCCAGTGAAGAATTTGTTATTCAGCAACAGTACGAAAGGGGATTTCTAATTGCGGTTGTAGGGCCTGAATTGAATGTATTGTATCTGATTGTTAACTGACATGCAGCTGAATTTTATTTTTGTCAATGAGAAACAATTTTTTTTTTCTAGAAATGTATTTTACCCTGAATACAGTAAACCTGGTGGTACTTTAATTTTACAGACACATTTCATTAGGCTTTAAAACACCAGACAATAAGATCCTCATCTACATCATGCTTAATTCACATTAATTCCAGAAATTCAATCGTAGTAATAGTCTGACCGCTTTGATCTGCACCATCCCTGTATACAACTTACATACTCTAACCTTCATTGCACCATGATCTTCGTAACAAAAAGAAAGTTTCATTATTAGTTAATACAAAATCATGAAATTTTAATGCAGAGTTGGAATTTACCACATCAAAGAAATTTAATATCTTATTGATTATATTAGGTAAAAAATTGTGATTAAAAATATACTTCAATACAGATGCTGTTTGAAGCGAAAGGTCGATTCTCACCTTTTTTATTGCTTGTTTCTGATTTCCGATTCTTTGTAAATGTTTTTTTTTATCATTTTAGTCAGATTGATTGAACATAGAATTGTCACTTTCGATTTTTAAAGGTGGCATCCCGCTTCAATGATTGATAGAAATCTACACTGCATTCTAAATTCTGATCAGGGTCTATGTATGATTGATTAGACTATGTATGTAAATAGTCTTCAGAAATACTAGAAATATACGAAATGGCATAAGTCCTTCAAAAATACCCCAAAATAGGAATTTTACTTTATATTTCTGTAAATGTCTTATCTATATATGACAGAGTTTCATAAAGACGAGTTGTCAAATGGGGATAATTCTGGACACACATGCACTTGAAGGCTCAAATTTGGACAATTAGCCGTGAACACTATTACTGATTGTTCAGCTTAATAATCCCCGTTTCCGAGACAAAACTACAATTGGTCAAGCGTATGGCGAATCTGTCACTTTAAAGAGAGTTGCACTAAGATGTATTCATTAGTTAAAAAAATTCATTCTCTTGTTGGTTAATACAACTTGTCTTGAAGATAATTATACACGAACAGTTTCTGACATAAGTTTCATCTGACATTTTGAGATGAACTTTAAACTTGTAATAATGATTTTTAAAGAAAAAGTTTAATAGTAAATTCCTTTTGTCTTTCAGAAACCCAGTCTGCAAGATATAGAGAAATTGCCATGGGTCATTTAGTTTATTATGACAATTGACACAGGTCTACTTGTTAGAAAATAAAATAAGACTAAAATCTAAAATGCATATATCTAATGTTCAGAATGTACAAAAATAGAAAATGTCAAAAAGGATGAGAAACTCACACGAGTTACTTCCCTTATGAAAATTATCAACAATGAACATCACAATAAAAAGGACTACAACACATTGAACTAAATATTGCTGTCGTGTAGTATATGTAGTCCAATGATTAAAACATCGTTCACTTAAGTCATCATAAATTGAACTAAGATAAATAGGAAACAATGAATGTATTGCAATGTTTGATTAGTCGAACATTTACCGTGATGTATACGGTATTATGTATGTATGGATTTTTATCAAGATACAAAGAATTCTGTACATATTTCAAACTGAAAGTTTTTTTTTTATGAAAATAGCAGATTAATTAGACATATCGCGATAAGCGCTCGTATATCAATAGATAACATAGCGATATCCACTTGACCCAATGTTGCCTAGCCTCAGTCGAAAATCATGACGTATTCATGCAATTATATACTAAAGAATAATACTCATAATAAAATTTATGAACATGAAAAGTAATAAAAATATCATATTTGAAGTATAATATAATAATATGATGTGTTAACAAAATATCCATTTCAATTCAATTTCAACTCGGCAAGCAAAATTTATTTACAAAATATCTCTTAATTGCATAGGCACAAACACAACAGTAGTTAGAAAGCAGTCTTGAGAATATTAACTTGAATTACAGTAAGTTTACTCATCAGCACGATTAAGAGTGATTGGTTAAATTCATGTTATTCCTATTTCAAACGAATTATTAACTTATTGGCTACTTGAATAACAACATACTATAAGACATTGGCTTGGATTACGGATCGTAATAAAGTTACTCATATCAGCATGATATAAAATGAATATTCAAATAGCATAGTTCTAATCAGCCCCCATTTTAATCGAATTATGCACCACATTGTTACTTGAATAACTCATAGATTTAACATCTTCACAATGTGATTCGAGAAAGGTGGTTATTGCAGTCAATGTATAAGACGAAGTTCGTAACAGTTTGATATTGTGAAGATCCAGATTTGAGGATATTGAATTTCAGATCTTGTTGAATGCATTGGCATTATGTGATGTCTACATCAGTGTAGTTTGAATTATCTCCCATTTCAAATACATAATTCTTTACAAAGTTACTTGAATAACTCACAGATTTGAATTCCAGATATCAGCTTAAAATAGGGTGAATTTTCTACCAATTATCTCCCATTTCAAGCAATGACGGCCACATACGGATTTTGATTAATCCACTTGACAAATCACCTTCATTATTATGTACATGCATTCCAGACAGTGAAAGTTCGGTGGGAATACTGTCAACGTAAAATCCAATATGTTTATAGTGTCACTTCATTATTGATATGTGGTTGATAATTGTAATATGGCTGTCCATCACCAAGATCTTGATCCCGAGGTACAGAACGTCCTGACGATTCTGATATAACGGATTGATAGGATGGTGGTGCGTCATTAAAATCTGATGCCTGTCCAGTAGAGTTGCCCATTGAATCATTCAATGAATATCGGTCTTTTTCATTTCTCTTTTGAAACCGTGTAACTCTACCGGGTTCGGGTTGCTGTATTGGGTACGCGTTAGCCAATGCGTTAGGGCCATGTAGTGTTTGATTTGAAGAATGTATACTCGGTGGACGACCAGTGGTTGCTGTTGTTCGTGTGAATCGAATCTGTGAAGGGTCAGTAAAGGCGGGATTGTCTATTTCTGGGAAACCTGAAATCTGTGTTTCCTGTTGAAATGATCTATCTAGTCCAGTTCCCATACCGTACGGCCATTGAGATACACTAGTTGTTTTGGTATCGTCTGATTTCACATGAGTAACTGTGACGATGAGTCCTGAAGCAAAAATCATGATCTCACCAATACAGCAGACGGCATAGGCCCATGAAATATGATTTCCTGTATTGTCACTCTTGACGCTTGTAGCATATAGTATGAAACCTATCAATCCGAAGATAACTGAAAAAACAAGAAAACTTAATATAAATAAATCATGTCACGTGAAAAATAAATGACATTTATTGTCTAGACAATTAAAGGATAGTTTTAAAATATTTTAGTTTTTACTAATAACTTTCCTTGCAGTCCAACAAATTATAAATTATTACAGGAAACAATGGACTATATTGTACTATTACTGTGACAACTACTAGAACTACTTAGGGAAGATCCAATCTCAAATATTCTAATATGTCGAAGAATCAAGAAAATATAATCATGACCACATTATTTTGACCCAATGTCTGAGTCAGTGTCACCATATTATTGTGACCAATTTACCTTCAATCATATTACTATGATCATATTATTTTGATCAATTAAGCTTCGATCATACTACTGTGATCATATTAGGCCTACTGTGACCAATTTACCTTAAATTATATTACAATGATCATATCACTGTAAACAATTTACAATTTACCTTCGATCATATGTGATCAATTTACCCTATGACTATGATTATATTACTGTGGCCAATTTAACTTCGATCATACTACTGTGACAAATTTACCCCTAATGATAAAAAATTTGCCCGAGACCAATTTATTCTGACCTAATGTTTGGTGGATAAATGTACCTTGACCAATTGATAGCCCACCCAGTCAGATCATTTTCCTTAGAGTTGATGCAGCTACTTACCACCAATAAAGCAGCATATTTCAAACGTTCTTTTCTTAATTTCATTTTTGTTATCCAAAGCATCTGTGAAGTTTAAAAGTATAGCACAGAGCAAAGCTAAACCAATAACAAGAGATGACATAGACATACAGAATCTGACACCATTTAACCATCCTAGAACGAAAAATAAAATACTTTAAAATACGATCTACATTTTTAAACTAAAATGCACTGTAACGCCTGGTTGGTTAACGGTGTACATTTCTAATTTACTTCTAGGGTTACTGACTAGGGTTGCATTGCTTTTGGTGATTCATCCATCTTTGATGTAATTTTTTTGATTTATTCCCATAAAGAAGGAAAAGGGTTTGCAGAACAGGCTTTCGCCTCTCCGAGCATGTTTCAATAAAAATCAAATCAAACTTGTACTTCCTCTTCAGTTGAATTTATCTAAAAGCATACCATATTCATATCCTGTTTATAATCTAATCTCTTTCATGCTATATGTGTACCAAAATTCGGCTATCGTATCAATACTTCAATCTTAATCGCGTACCTAATTGTGAAATTCCTTATATTCAACCTTACAGGCTCAGGCTCACAAAAGCACAAGAGCCTGAAATGACTCTGAGACAATTTTTAAAAAGTATCCAGTGAGTATCCAGTGAGCTTACCTGACCACTGTCCACAATAGCCTGCCCACTTAATCGCTTGGAAACATTTTTTTTATTTCATTTTTTCATGATAACAGAAAGGGGTAAAGTATGCATGTATGGGAAAACATTTGGAGGCTGAGAAGGCTATAAAGTGAAACTGTAGCAAGAAGATGACAAGCTTGTTTACATACACGTGACACCAACATGAAGCTAAGGTTACCGTAGGGTATGACTGGAGAATTTCTAAACATCGTAGCAAAAAGGTCAAGATTTTGTACACAACACAGGTCTTTAAATTTACTTTTCAAATAAAAAACATGACTAATCCTATGGTAAATATTGCATGCAAAGGCTGTTGTTGTTCAATGAAGGATTTATTATTGATTGCCAATTCCTAATGTAGGTTACTAATGACTCATACTTTTATATACATACATACAGGTAACAATTATCATATAATATATTATATTATATTATACCTGGAATAACATCATATAAATCACAGTCTGTTAATCCATCTTCACAAGTTAACCATAATCCAGACCTATATACAATAACTTCTAAATCGTCATTCTTATAACCATCGTTGAATTTTCTTTTGCTGATAGATTTAGTATGCCAGGATGGTATAGAATATCCCAATACAAATAGCGCCAATCCAACAAAATATAAAAACAATCCAACTTTATAACCTAGAGGTCGATCTTTCAAACGATTCATCTTGCGACATTTGAGGGTCAATCTACCACACTAAATGTCTTAGTTATGCGACAGTCAAACCATGTCCATCAAATTCAAAATGGATTCCCACATTTAAATTCGTCATGAATATCACAGGTTTACAATCGTCCACTTGATAGAGAAATCAATCGAACAAGTCTAGCTAATCCATTGGTTGTTATTGAACGGTTCGTGTGTGCAAACACGTTAATACTTAAGAAGTCACGAAGTCGCTCACCGAGCAATGCACAGTAAAATAGGCCTATACGAGTCAAGGACTACCGACCCATATAGATAACAGTAGAAGGTTAACCTGTTATAGTGAAAAGGTAAATAGACATAAATAGGTCAGGTGACAGGTAAAATATAATTTATAATCACACAATGAGCTCCTTGAATTCATTATGAAATATTGCACGAAATCTGATAACATTATAAATGCAGTAGGCCTACATGTGTAATCGTGATTTTGTGTTTTGTACAAATGTGTCCAGTTATGGTCGAGTTGTTGCATTACATCACGTTGTATGCTTATAGATGAGAGTAATGAGTTGAAGAGCTATGATATAAGTACAAAGTAAAATTGCGTGATGGCAAATTCAATAACAGAGTGGTATCACGTGTTCCAGAAACTTGAAAAAACGGCCTGCAGTGTTACAAAATTCCAAGATTTTAAATTTTACTAACAGTTAGTTGCTACTAAAAAACACCTTATGATAATCAAAAGTTATCTCTGTTTTGTGACCTAAGCCAGTGCTTTTATTGGGATTTTTAAATCTCAATCTCACTCTAACACCAACAATCTCGAGAGCAGGCGAATGTTACCGAAATAATAACGCCACAGGCCTAAATACTACTAAATTGGAGTGTTATGTTTGATAAAGCAAAATGGTTAGGAGCCTTGTCAGTATACCTAGATCCATGATAATTGTATCAATTTGCAGCTTCTATCACATTCACGGGTTGATTTTAGCGTATTTTGGAATAATCAATGGTTATTACTCAAGTGTTTCCATCGAAAATTATCGACTATCGAATTATTCTCGATCTCTTAAGTATTTAAATATACCTAGTCTCATTAAAATCGGACCAAAACAGTAAAGCCTCTCTTGCCTTCGCGAGCCAATTCTTGCGTAGTTTATCTAAATCAAGGGCAATAATTCGTATACCGTTCATTGAAATCGGACTCCGAGATCTCAACAATAAACATATAATTTAACCGAGGGCCCTTCTTTTTACTTTATAATAATTTTCACTCTTGAGGAGAGTAAAGGAAAGGACCATAAAACTTTTTGTATATTTTGTATTTTTATTTGCCATGTAAAAAAGACACGTAAAATTCACGTAGGCCTACTTGCAACACGTCAGAAACCTGCGGACGATCAGCCCCGTTGCCAGGAATGAATTAGGGCTGGGCTAGGATTTTGTGCCGAAGTGGTGCAGGCGGAGTGCAACAATTTCTACGAGCTTGGGGAACTATCGCCTCCCTTATGAAAATTAGAAGCCCGGAGAACTCATTTCTACCTATTTTGAGGCGGATTATCAAATATCAAAACGTAAATCTTTTTGGATTTATACGAAGACGTTGCAAATTAAGAAATCTAAAAAGGTTTGCTTGGGGCATAATTTTAACTTGCTTAGGCTCACCCGAACGACGGGGCTGAGGACAATATACGTCCACAATATTATGTGAGGTATAAAAATGTGAACCAAAATCGGTCAATTTGGGTACAAAGGAGACAAGATTTTCGGAAATTCTAGGTAATTATTTCAAGCTGGCGTATTCTTTCCCTTCAATGTTCCGTTTCTTTTAGTAATGAACATTTTCAAAAGTTGACTGTCGCCGAGGCGGGAATGTATATTATAGGGGGGTTCGGTAGCACAGACCATGAAACTAAATAGAACCCTCACTGATGCCCGAATTTAGCAGGAAAGTTGGAAATGAATTTCCACGTAGGAGACCAATGAGGTGCCTGTTTTGATTGGGGACAGGCTGGTTGCCCGAACATATTGAAGCACGACTCCTCCGCCTATGTATAGGTGGTCGCCTCTTAATCGATTGGGTTACTGGAACATCCGAGGGCGCTAGCTTGCGAAAACACCAGGGCTTACTTGTCTGCCGAAAAGGTTTTCCACTCGCTGCCCGGAAAAATAATATTTGGAGGGCCTATGGCTAGGTGGTCGCCTTTAATCGATTAGGTTACTGTAACTTCCCTGAACGTCAACCTACCTAATGTAACTACTGATCTAAGGGCGATAACCGGCATTACTATTGTCTTTTGCTTTGTCAATACTTGGTCTAAAGGGTCCAATGCCTTTTCTGATCCTATCTACATTTAGGACTTCAATTAATTCTTTATATATCAAAAGGGACATTCAAAAAAACAGTTTAATAAATTTAACAAACAAGTATACATAACAAAATATATAACAAGTCATTATTGCTCATCATTGGTTCCATTACTTACAAGATAACATAACAATATTATAAATCTATATACCAGCATATTTTTTTTAATTTCATGCAGTTAAACTAGAATGGTACTCTTTTGATTTTGCAAACTTCAAAGGGGCAGATTTTTCATTTTTGGGGGTTGATATGGGACTTGAATATATGTAAATAGTCCTGTTTCTGAGACTAAGTGTTGGTTCTGGCCATTGCTAATTCACAGCCTTTCAGATTCTGTAAGTTGAGAGGTCAACCTAAGCACCCCTTCTTAAAGAAAAAATTTAATATCACCATTCATATAACAAAATTTAAATAATATAACTCATTTGTCATGCTTCACTATTAACTGTGTGTTTCTGTAGAAAATTGAGATCATTCTATTGGTATCAGCAGTTATATTTCATAATTTCTAAACTTCTGTATCATATCTGAGGGAGAATCTCTGAACCAGTGTATATTGGTTATAGGTACTGAAGCTGTAATAGATAAATTCAAACTACAACATGATGTGGTGACACACACATCGTGAATTCAATCACATGATCCACACTCTTGCAAAAATTAATTGTAAAAACTGAATTGTACCAAGAAAAGCACACCACTTGACTATATTGAGGTACAGTATGGTTGGCTTTTGTCATGGTGAAATGTAAAAAAACTTGGTGAGGATCAACTCCCATATAAAATGATATTGATATTTGGCCCTACCTAGAGATGATAGCACATCTGTACATCACCTTTGAAGAACTGGGTGTATGACTCAAGGGATTGCTGAAATTGAGCTTTATCAACAGTTAAAGCCAATATTTTGACAACAACATATGTTCAGAACGTCTGGTCATGGAAAGGAACAGTGATTCGAACACACAGTTTCAATTGAACCATTAGGTAACTTTTGATACTTCTGCCTCCTAAGAGATGGTCAATAGTCATCACAAACCTTGTTTCCATTTAGGTGTAGTGTTAGTAGAACTGGTTGTTGGAGTATGAGGCTGATTTTCACTACTAGTAACTGTATCATGCAACATTGGTTGAGGTTTAGAACATGCCCAGTGTGTTGACTGAAAAACATAAACTGTGGAGACTAAAGGGAGATAATTACATAAAACTTAAAAGTCCCATTAAAACTATCGATCCAACAACCACTATTATCTCTTGATAGCAATTATTTCATAATGAAGATCTTGAAACCCCTTTAATCAAAAACTGGTAATGAACTAGGTACATGAATGTTACTAACCAAGAGGCCTGCATTTTATAGTACGCCTTCAAATTCACACACAATAACTGTTATACACCTGATATTTGTATTTTATAATAAAATAGCAAATAAGAATTTGTAGATAATACTCTGCATTGTATCATTTGGACAATCTTTTACCAACAATTTCAAATCATACATACAGGGGATGATGACCATGATTACATAAAGTCAGTAAAGATTGGACTAGTTGAAGATTAAAGGGAGATAATCAGTAACAATCACTTTTAACCACTGCCTTCTAATGTTTACTGATTATTTTCATGTGAATTGAAATATTACCTTCAGAATTGTACAGATAGGTTTTGAATGATATAAACATAATTACCTATTATCATTTTGTAATTGTTTTTCACAAATGGCAATTTTCAGCAAAACTAAATGGCAAATATACAAACCTTTATACCTCTATGAACCAAAACTCATGATAGAAGATCAGATTCGTATTTTCATAAAAAATAATCTGCAGTAAATTTTCAAATAATAACAGATACTCAAAAAAAGTATTACCCTATGAGTAGGAGCCATATTACACCATTGTTGATAACTTATAGCTAACTGTGATCTTCTCCATCTATCATAATTAACTCTAGTACTAGGATCACTTAATACATCTTTAGCTCTCTGTAATAACTGGAATCTTGCAGCTGGAAATAAACAATTAAAACCTAGCCATTGTCTATAGATAAATTTTGAAAAAAGATAATTTTTTTTTATTTTAGAAGACTCATCACCTTCAAGGGAGAGTTACGCAATTTTTTTTTGACAAATCATACTTAAGTCTCTGAAACTGGAATTTTTTAGCTGAGCTAATCAGTAATAGTGTTCAGAGTTCACAGTCAAAATTTGAGCTTTCAAATCCACGTGTGTCCAGAATTATCTGTGTTTGAATGTTAAAATGATGACTTGTCAATTTAAGAAACACAAGACATATTTAGAAATAGTGAATAAAATTCCTAGATTGAAGTATTTTTATAGGAATTATTTAATTTAGAAGACTTATTTGACCTCATTTTATTAGTTCTCCTTATTCTTAAATACTTATCTCCTTATTTTAGAAGATTTCTTGTCCTCATATCAAGTTTTTTTTACTTTGATTAACTTAAAAATATTTCTTTATTTTAAATTCTGATATTTGATGTTGGAAGTCTTACCTGCTTGAGGATCATCAGGATTTTTATCAGGATGACATTCTATGACTCTAGCTCTATATTCACTTATTATCTGTTCTTCCTGTTTTAAATAAAACAATAGTTATTTGAACCTGTGAAAATATCAGTTTAAAGAAAAAGGTAGGAATTATTTATAGTATATTATATTAGATTATAACATGTAACAGATTTTAGTATAATTTTTCACTCTGTGATTGAGTTTGTCGACAAGGCAATCTTTTCATAATGTTCACAAAGCTAATATTAAATATATAAATGTTTTTAAACTATTCTGATAGCATAACACAAATATCGTATATATTTCATGTTTGAAACCGTATATTGATAATTATATAAATGGAAAACAATTGAAAAGACTATTATTGAACCATTTTGTAGGGTACATTTTATATGCCTAATCCAATTTTTGGATTCCAACTCAACAGTGAAATGAAATCAACCTAATCCAAGGGACAGTCTTGTCCATCAGCAGTTTCATTCAATTGACCTAACCTATTTGGACTCTCCAAAAGGGTTGCCAGTTTGACCAACCACACCAGTTAAATTCGTGAGTTCCTGGAGAAGAATGTAATTCAACATAAATTGAAAAAATCTGTAAATTAGCAAGCATAATAATGGAATGATTGATAATGATGACATTCAAAAATGAACCAATGGCAAATGCTCCAAATGTCAATAATAATATTGCCAATTTTCAAAGAGATCAGGGCAAGTTTAAGAGAAGTCTAAAGTGAATCTGGGAATGCAAATTCAAACTCTTACAGTTGCAGATGGATCACAACCAAGAATTGCATAAAAGTCTTCACTGTCATCTTTTGTGTAATTTAAAACATCTTCCATATTAAAAGCTCATTTGGCCATTCACCATGTGCTAAACGTCAGATTAATGTTTACATTTATGTAGGGAGTAGTTTGTATATATTATCTATTGAAAGACATCCATTGGATTTTTCAGTGTAGATTTTGATAAATATGTCATCAAACACGATTTACAACTGAAATTTGTTAATTTCCATGGTAAGTGCGTCGTAGATTATCTAAATTTAAGCAAAACTACAAAAATAATTTCGAAATGAGTACTCCATGCATTGGAATGTAAAATGACGCATGCGTATTGAACAAAAAATCGCAAGCAACATGGCGAGCGGGACAGATTCTTTCACTGAAATTCCGACGAAGAGAGCTAGGATAGAGGAGGATATTGGCGGTCAGGGACCTTGTCCGTCAGATATTTTTGATGTCCATCTATCAAACGGACATGGTGAGGAAGCCCCTGTTGATTGTATAACTCCGTCAATTCCAGCTGAAAATTGCGATTTTATTCACTTCCCGGAAAATCTTGGTGGGCAGGGCCTCACGTCATTGGCTGAAAGCGTTGGTTCTGCGCAGAACGTGTCAGTCCCTAAGACAGGTAAATACTTCTTAATTTTTTATTGCATGATTCTTTTAGTCTGCTTTTACATTAGTAAGGATATTTACTAGTTTAATACAATGATCAAGTCTTATTTTATATTCAATGTTAATACACAGTGTGTGTTTCTTAAATAATGCAGAAACTCATAAAATCGTGATAAAGGGGAGATTACTTTTTTGTTTATATTTTTACCTGCTGTCAAAAAAAAGCACATGGTTTTGATTTCAATAAAAAATTTCAATTTCAGAAGTTGGGGCCTCGACATCAACCATACAAGTTCCAGATCCCGCACAAGCAGGACTACAACTTCCAATAGATGGTATTGGTAATCCTGTGGGATCTGATCAGTCTGCAAATGAAGTAAGAATGTACACTTTATTAAGGTTATGACAAATCAGTCAAGACTACCTCAATAGATATTTGAGTAATTTTAGTCAGCACATTTGAAAGGGCCAGCGATCACACATTTCTCTTGATTTTAACCTCTTTTAATGCATGATTGTATTTTTTAGGATCAAGAAGGAAATGGTGAAGATAATAGCAATGACAGTTGGAGTACCATCAGCGATATCTCTGGTTTGAGTGAAGATGCCTGGAAACCTGTCTCAGGTTGGTCTACCATTTGATTTATCATTAAATTTTTGTTTAGTTAGCTTTTTGTATTGTTAGAAAGAAGCACTATATTTCATATTTTGAGGTAAAGAGTATTACATTGCAGCTAATGGATAAGATATACAAAGTGATGTTAATGTTTTAATGTTTGCAGGTCCCATGTCATGGGTACATCGACAGGTTTCAATGGGCACTGATCCTAGGTCTATACTTACTGATATGTTACCAGATGGAATGGAACTACCAAGTGATCTAGATAATTACTCTTTATGGAGACTGGTTATTAATCTATTAATGGAACCACCTAGAAGAAAAAAACTTGAGAATATCAATACATTTGAAGATGTTGTTCATTTGTTAAAAACTTGTAAAAAAATCATGGTCCTAACTGGAGCAGGAGTGAGTACATTTTTTTTTGTTTATTCAGAAAGTGAATATTTTCAGACCCAAGATATTTATAACTGCTATGTAGTTGGAGAGGAGGTAACAATTATCAAAATCTATTAAGGGGCTTAAATTATGTGTATTAGATTGGTTGATAGATCTTAGTTTTTGAGTTCAAACAATTGCCTAACTATATTTCCATTTATAAGCCTCCATGTATACATTAATTTCAAATTGCAAATATTTTCTTATTTTAGGTGTCTGTATCTTGTGGTATACCAGATTTTAGATCAAGAGATGGTGTGTATGCAAGACTGGCTGTTGATTTTCCCAATCTTCCTGATCCACAAGCTATGTTTGATATTCATTTCTTTAAAGGAGATCAAAGACCATTCTTTAAATTTGCAAAAGTGAGTTTCTCTTTAATCAGTTTTTTTGTTTTGATTTGTTAACCTTGTAAATGCTAGCATTTGATCTACTTGCTACAAAAATAAACATCATAGATGCATGACATTTGCCAGTCAGTCAGCTTTTATTACATGGAGGTCAAACAGAATATGAAATTATTGCATATTGCATTACACTGAAATTTTAAGTTACATTTGAACACTTTATTTCAGGAAATCTACCCAGGTCAATTTGAACCGTCTAAATGTCATAAATTTATTAAGTTATTAGATGATCATAATAAATTATTACGCAACTATACTCAGAATATTGATACACTAGAACAAGTAGCCGGTATTAAAAATGTTATTCAGTGTCATGGTAGGTGTATTTGATATTAACTATTTCCCTCTGAATTACACATCAGGTCACAGGTGGTTGCTTTATATTTCATTCTTGGATGTCCATGCACATGGCCCGTCTTCATTAGCCCACATGGTGCAGAAAAGTAGGACGTAAAACTCCATTCATTTCATTTTCATTTCATTTGTCCATGCACATGTGGAAATGTGGAATAGTTAAATGTTTGGTAGAGCAGTGCTAGAATTACATTAAGGGAAATTGTCTGAATATTTCATAAAAGCATGCTGATGCTAAACTTTTCCATCAGGGATTCATTTGTACTCCATGCTGCTAAATGTCAGCTCTGTTCAGAATTAATGATTGTGTCTTGCCTTATAAGTAGCAATTTTTCTGTCCATATAATCCTTCATATCCTTTGTAGGTTCATTTGCAACAGCTCAGTGTATGGCTTGTAAACATAAAGTAGATGCAGACGTTATTAAAAAAGATATTTTTGATCAAGTAAGTTATTTTGTTTGAGGTTGAATCAAGATTGTTTTGGTCACTAATTAAAAAAAGGTTTTCCTTTTGACAAATCCAAGGTGATTTGCATATGTCGTTATCCATGTTATAATATCATTATACAATTTTATAGATGGATTGACTTCAAAAGGGACAGTGGTATCGTGTTCTGATGAAATGTTTTTTGTTATAGACCTCCATTTTGCTTTTGATGATTTAGTCATGCAATGATTTATAATTTCAGGTTATTCCAGCATGTCCTGTTTGCCCACCTGGCACACCGTATGCCATCATGAAACCTAATATTGTATTTTTTGGTGAAAGTTTACCTGAAGAATTTCATCGACAGATGGCTGATGATAAAGATGAATGTGATTTATTGATAGTTATTGGCTCTTCCCTTAAAGTTCGTCCAGTTGCCCTCATTCCTAGTAAGTATGATTACAATTTTGATCAACATTATACATGCAAGATATAAAAATTCTGTGATTTATGGGAAAAGAGTGTTATTTTTGCACAACAGAGGTGTTCATTGATTTGTGTTTTACATTCAACCTCTATGACTATCACCATGTCATTCTTATTCAGTGTGTGTGCCCTACAGCTTCAACTGTATTTCACATCTTAACCTTTCTTTTTGTTTCAGATTCTCTTCCAGCCCATGTACCTCAAATATTAATAAATCGTGAGAGGTTACGACATATGGACTTTGATGTAGAATTATTGGGAGATTGTGATGTTATAGTCAATGAATTGTGCAAACATTTAGGTGAAGGCTGGGACAAGTTGAGCAATAATCAACCTGTATTAAAACACAAAGAAAAGTCAGAATTATGTGAAGACTCTAAAAACATGTGTTCAAATATTGTCAGTGCATATTCTTGTGAACTTCGCGGTGATAATTGTTTATCAACAGACAGTAATTCATCTGATAGTCAATCAGCTGTTAATCACAAACAGGACACTGGTGACAGTCAACCTACAACACCTGATGTTACTCCCTCAACTAACACTTTAGACAATAGAAATAGTGAACTGTGTTCAAATCAGAGTGCATTAAGAAATTCTAACTCATCTGAAACTACAGATAATGATAATATTGAGAGTACAGATGAAACCAGTAACCAAATGAGAAGTTTCTTCCAACCTAGACCACGACAAAGTCTAGCCAAAAGACTTAAAAGTAAGTAGACTTTTGTTTTTACAGATAAAGTGGAATATATTGATATTAGGGCTGCAACGATTCCTAAAGTGGCGATCCGATACACTAAACGATACTCGTTCAACGATACGATTTATTGCGATAATAAATCGCGCTTCTTTGATTAAAGGGAAAGAAAATGAAAACTGATAATTAATAACATTTTAACACAGTTCAAATTATTTTGGTACGCTTAGAAGTACAAAATTCACTTTTCATCATTTGTTACATACATCGACTAACAAATTTCTTCAAAATGATAAATAAAATACCAAACCATTGGCAAATATCTTAATTGGGAATTGTCGTTGTAATTTCAATTTTTTTCACTGGCCTTTTCACCCACAGTGATCTTTGACATAATTTTAGCCTGACTGTAATTGATGACGTTGTCGGTAGAGATGATTCCGAGCTAATAATTCATAAAATATTTCAGTGTTTAAATGTTTCGACAATAAGGTATTCCACGATATTCTGCTATTTCCGGATGGCATTCGAAACCATGATCTGGAGAACCAGAAAAAAAAAAGATTTTAAACCGAAAAAGCAAAGGAATGTCGTTCTGTGTTTTATTGTTAGTAGCGAGGTCATAAATTGCGTTTTAGAGAATGGATCATATATATTTTGGTTTTATAAAAACGTATTGAGCTGAAGAATCTAATTTCCAAGAGCGCTGTATCGAATAAACAGCTTCATGGAATTATTTTATGACTATGCAAACACATCTTACGTTGGAAAAAGAAAAAGTCTATATCAGATCCCATGCATTTATCTTACACTTGGCATATTAATATGTTCTCTTTTCATCGTTTATAACAAAAATTAATAATGCTGAAGCCAAATTAATACGTGAAAAGCAATTTTTTAACATTTGAACATGACACAATTTCTAAAATACGCGAGGATTCTGTGCTATTAGTCATTAAAGGGAGTTAATTATATTTATGAGAATCGGGCCGATGTATCGCGATTAATTATTTCTTCTAAGAAGGAACGAATCGCGATTCAGCGGTGAATCGTTGCAGCCCTAATTGATATGTGTGTAATTTGTTATGTACATGTAATATAATTGAAGTCAGAATAAGCACAACCATATTCACTATGTTAGGTTTAATTTTAGCTGCTGCTGAATTAGATTGTTATTTTAAACTCTATTTTATTTTTTATTGATTTAATTTTACAGATGATGAGTTACTGTTTTTACCACCTAATCGTTATGTTTTCTCTGGAGCAGAAGTTTATTCTGATGATGATTTTGATGATAGTGACAGTGAAAGTGAAGATGGCGATGAGGACACTAAAACCACAAATGATGATGTCCAAACTGAAAACTTAGACAATCAACACCAAAACGATAAAGTTGTTCCAGATGTTAAAGCAAAAGAAAATTATGAAGTTTCTATAAGAGATATTATTGATATAGCAAAGTAAATTGAAAACAAATATGCTATTATTTAGAAAAATGTTGTTTTGGGTCCAAGAGATTTTGGTGTAGAAAATAAAAGCGACATGACCCCATTCATACATGTTTCTAAATAAAATTATACTATGGTTATTATTAATTTATTCTTAATGTCTTGTTTGAATGGAATGATTTTGGAATGATTGTGTGTTTATTGTGTAAATGTATTTATAAATGTACATATATACAGTATCAGAGAAGAATCTATTTTTGTAATAATTTCAAATTTCAACCATAGTGCTGTCTCATTTTCTATCTTTTACATTTCATTTAAGCCAAATTATCACTTGAATTTCTCTTCTTATCTTATCTATTCTTTTCTGTTTCTTACAAGAAGCAATCTACTGTAAAAAGCATTCTTTAATTTCATTTGTCAAAAATATTTCAATTGTATGATATCAAATCATTTATGAAATAGAATGTATATTGTGTTAGGGAATGAATTGTGTAAACTAGTTGTTTATTGTGTATCGTTTATTAGTGTGTTTGTTGTGATAAGTTGTGATATAGTGTTATTGTAAATAGATTAGAAAACTACATCAATGTTAATTATTACTTGCTCCAAATTTCTCCAGTTTGATTCAACTGCCATAACAACTCATATCCAGAATGTTGTTTTACCTACCAAACATTTTAAGATTATAGGGCATGTTCTGACAATCATTTTTATATCTATCACACTGGTATTCTATAACTATATTTGTATTATTAATTGAAAAACATTATTGAAAAAAATACCATAACGTTTAATCATAATCGGTGAGTTTAAGCCAATGATTTTCTTCTTACAATAAAGAATAAGATAAGGGAATTGGCCATGAAATATAGCTACTTAATCATGTAAAATCTGAATTTTATTAAAATTTGCTTTTTTGTACCAAATGTTGCCAAAAAATGGCACTTTTTTTTCGAAAAGTGGAAATGATACAGATTTAAATGATAATTTATTGCAAGAGAAAATCATTGGATTTAGACTGAATTAGCATAATTTTGTATATGAATCAATTATTACAGGGTTTTATCATTTCATTGTAACATATGTCATCATCATCATAATATCAGTCATAATAAGGGTTATATTTTTCTAATTTTCTATTTATCACATCTTTTGTTTAAGGCCATATTTTTCTCTTTTCATTCAATAGTTCATGCATTTGACTTGTATACAACTCTACATAGGCAGGACCTAATTTGAAACAGTGGAAAATATTTGGGATCTAAAGATATACTTATTAACATACAATGTGAAAATGCTTACACTTTTAAAAGAACAGAATTTCTGAGGGTCCAAATGATGTAACTAGATGTAAAGAAAAACATAAATTTGAATAAGAAATTGCCAGAATTCAATACAGCAAAATGCTTCTTATTGTTTTGTTGTCTGTTTTGTTTTGTTTTATAAAACAGGACTGACTTGCACATGATAAATTAGTTAAAAAAACAACATAAAGGAAGTGCTGATGAGATTACACTTAACAAAATAAGATCCATAGTTATTGTTATTATCTGCTTCTAACTTTGGGAATTAATTTGTTACATAAAAAGGATTATTGAAACAAAATCGGTTGTATCTCAGTTTGACACTGAAGTGTACTATTTTGTTTATTCTTAGTCCATTGTAAAATAAATTATTCTGTAAAAGTGTTGTTTTTGTCAAAAATTAAAGATACCGGTAAACTGTTTCAAATGTTGATAAAGGGTATAAAGTTATACAAAACAGTAATTTAATAGAATATCACTATGCTCATATATAAAGATGTTTTATAGGTTCTGAGACACCTTATTTAGAATTGTTGAAATTACATATTAACATGTAAATTAAACTGTTTCATATTGATAACTGTCTTGTTTCTTGATGCTAAAAATTTTCATGAATCCATATTGTTACCTGAATGAATATTAGACATTTCAGATTGGCATCAAAGCTGACTAACAATCAACCTCGAGGTATTCTGATGCCTGTGCCCAATACCTAACTCCAGAACCCATACTTTTATTTTGAAAATAGATTAAGCAAGCTGCAAATAAAGGTATATCAGATGCAAAGGATAAAGTTGATAGGTGCAACTGACTGAAAAAGGTTATTGGTCCTGAATGAATCTTTGTTGTCTGACAGTTATGGAAATTACCTCCCTTCTTAATTCGCACCTGGCTGATTGTGACTACATTGTAAACAATATGGCTTCCCTCTAAATGAAATTTGTCGTTCAATAATGATTATTGATAGTTATAGGTTATATATGTGATTACGGTAAATCATTAAAGTTTCATGATGTTTTTTTAGGTCTACAAAAAAACTGACAAACATAGTTCTTTATAAATTGGGCCATGTAAGCATCTGCATGTTTCCCTCACACTAACCGAATCAAGTTTCACTTCATCTTCAGTTCCAGCCAGGAAATGTGTCACCTAATTTTAAATTAGGATCTGTTAGGTTAGATATTAATCCGTACAGATTAACTAATGTCTGTGAGCTACTTTATATATTTTTGTCTCCTTTGCTATATTACCTTCTGGGTAGGTTACAGTCACATAGTCCTCTAATAATATACAATTACAGTGCTGTAACCTATTTTCGTGCATATAAGGATTCAACACCGAATTTCGTCAAAGTTAAAAAAACGAAAACAATTTTTATGTCTTAGATGTTTCCTAAGATATTCTACAAAATAATTAAAATTGTTTGTTTCGATTTTTTTTATGAATCCTTCACTTTGACCCCATATTTCATGATCAACCAACACGGCAACGGCGGCAAAATGCGTTACCTATTTTCGTGTAAAGTGTTTGATCTATAAATAGGTCGAGAAAAACACATTGTATGGATACCCGGTGGTATAATTAACTTCTCTTAGTATTTATCTTTAATATCAATTCATTATAACAAGAGACAATTCCTTCAAAAAACAATGATTAAAAAAAAATAGTGAGTGACAAAATAAGATACGTAGCGTGATTTATTGCTTAAAGTCACTGAAACAACATAAGAATATGGCCCACTTTGTGTTCCATAGAAAGTTTCTGCTGACACTGAATCCGCTAATTGATCATGTGACTTCATTCATTGCAATACATTCTAGAAGACGACACTTAGAATTCCGATTACCACTTGGGATTATAAGGAAATACGGCTGATAAAAAATGGTGACGTTTGGTAATAACTGAAATCCGCCATTTTGTATTTGTCAAAGTATACATTAATACATTTTACCTTGCTTGAAACTACTGGATTCATTCTACTAGCTGATATTGTAAAGATAACCTATGTTTATCAAAACAAGCAAATGTGGAGGTCACGCGAGGTCGCACATGTAAATTATTAATCATTTCCAGAAATGCATGAAAAATAGGTTACTTGACTGGACCACTTTTGTCTTACTATACCAATTTCTTTGGCCTTTGCAATGAAAGATATGCAGTGTTAGTTTCAAAATGATATACCAGTAGGGTAGTAAGTCATTTTTATTATAAAGATATGAGACTTTTTTTGCATTCATCTATATTATTATACTCTTTGTAGGATTTTGTCATGCTTGTTATAATTGGAATGGAATCTTAAATTGATATGAGGAGGTTGAACCTTTCTTCAAGAGATGGATCCAAAGAAACAAAAAGAAATAACCCAGATCAGACTAGTGTAGCATCTATTAAGTCAGAATGTAAAGAGCGGATGAATAGTGCAGGGGAAACAGGGGGCAAGAAGACCAAACGCCAACACTCAAGGTCAAACTCTCACTCAGGAAGTGACACCTATGTGTTTGTGAAGACCCCTGCTAAACCATTGTCAGCTGATGCTAACCGACGTAAAATCTCATCTAACAGTAATGATAGTGATACGTTCATAGTGTACAATGATGAAGCCATTAACGTTAGTAATGTGTATGGTGGAAAGGATAAGAACAAGGGAGATAATTATCAGAGATTACTGATTATTTCCAGTAAAGTTAGAAATAGTAGTGTTATAAGACATGCTCTGCTATCTAATGTTATTTATGTACAATATAATTATGATGTTCATTCTTTAGATGAAATTCTCGGTAAGTGTAGGAACTGTTTTCTTTTACTTACTAAAGATACCAATCATCATGTTTAATGTAGGAAGAATGAGTCTTTCGTCTTTGAACCCTTGATCATAAGAGAAAGATGAAGTTGGTAATCTATGTGGTTAAGTTTGTGTTGTCATGATAATAATCATTAAAATCCATACACACCTTTTTTCTCTGTATTTACTATCCTACCTAGTTTCTCAAAATCTTCTAGTTAACATTAACAGAAAATGCTAAGCCAAAATGGGAGAATCTACCTATATTTAAATCAATGCTGGAAAACTTATTGACTGGTTAGAAAATGTGACAAATTTGACAATTTGAAATAATATTCTAAAATCAAGAACCCATGCCTCAACCAAGAAATTAATTAGACATAATCTGTAACATACAAATACATATTTTGATACATAAAACAAATGAATTTACTATCGAATTAAATTTGGCAGCTAATTAATGAATACAAAAGTAACTTTGAAAAATGAAACAAGATGGCCGCTCTGAAACAGGTGATCAGCACAGTAACAACAAAAGTGTTAATAACTTTAGGTATGCTATACCGACATGAAAAGTAAAGACAGGCACGCAAAGAAAAATACTAGAGCTATCTAATAAACAAGAAAAATAGTGATAATTATGTTTTGCCTATTCATGCCGATGAAATTACAAGTTACAACATGCAAAGTTATAACTATAAGTATACCATGCTGACAATATGGGGAGAACTGAATCTGTTAATTGGCATCATTGTCAAGAGAGAGAGAGAGAAGTGGGAACTCAATCTATCCTTGATAAATAAAATGCATGCTACTGAATACAGACATTTTTTTTTCCGAATGAAGTCACACTAAGACTCTTTATAACTATCAATAGATTAGATTATTAGTCTGTATATTTTTATTAATACTTATACTGATCTCAGTAATGATTTTCAATGTTGTATTTCAGGATTTATAGAAGAGAGTATTGGTAATAAGAAGGTAGCCAGTGTTGCTATGGTTTTATCATGTAACCAGTCAGCTATTCAGATAACATCTAAAGATGATAAGGTAGAAACCCACACCAGTTTTATAATGTGTAAATTTTCCACATTGTGAGTTGGTGACTATTTTGATGTAAGCTTATATATTTGGGAGGAAGTGTAAGAAGACAATCCTCTCTACCTTTTAATCAAATAAGTTCATTATTTTCATTTATATCAAATAAAAACCCAATCGATATAAATTTCACCATTTGCTTTATGAGTAACCCTTAAATGTTAAAATAATCTTATTTCAGATATTATGTCAAGATAGAATACATGATATTAGTATCAAGTTGTTTTTTACCAGATTAATAGATCTGTGTATAGATAAATCTCAACCTGGTCAACGTTTAGATCTTCTAGCCTTGTCAGCTTATCAACAACTAGATATACCATTAATAACTCATCAGTTACAGGACTGGACTGGGGTAGGAGACTAGATTATTATTGTGAAATCATTATGTTTTGTGACTCAACTTTCTGGATTTTGGCAAGTCCAAAAATAAATTCATGTTTCCATGAAGTATAAAAAGCTGTTTTAATAATAGTGAGGTTTAAAACAAGAAAAGGAATTCTCTTCTTTCTATTTCGTCCCTGTCCATGTTTCAGAAGTTCTGTTCTCTTGACACAATTATGGAACCTAGTAAGAGCTAGTCCGTAGTATAAACAGACAGTAAAACTATGTTAATACATGGTACTAGCCATCTAGCTATGTATATCTTTGTCTTTCTAGGTAACAGTTGGTTTTGCTAAAGATTTTGTTGGAAATGATATTGGTAATTTTAAGAAAGATGACAGTAAGAGGTAACTAGTTTGTATTACATGTATGATTTTTTAACTAACTTGTATTTTCAATGATCTTTATTCAAAAGAAGATCAATATATCAATATATTTTGACATTCCTTAAGTGCTAGACTTCATGTTATAAGTATTGTCATTCATGTAGATTGACAATAGCCTAACAATTCTAGCCCTACTCAGTGAGAGTGGTTATGAATGCTTCAAGATGGCGGAATGTGATTAAATTTGTACCCTAATTATGCTTTCAAGACAGTAAAAATTATTGTCATATTGGACATATTGTTTATAGATCTGTCATAAGCCAATAAGGCATATAATTTAATTATAAATTGTTTTTGATTTCAGCGTGGTTGGTGATATGTATTTCCGACTGGAGAAATTACGATTTTGGAGTGGAAGACATCAGCAATCACTGGCTGGTTTTGAAAAGATTAGAACTGTTGGCAAAGGTTTGTGTAATTAATGTCATTTTGTTGAATTATATAAATAAAAATGAATTATAAATATAGTTGCCCTGTCATGTCTGGCTGATTGATGTTTAAATTAAAGCTCTTAAAATGTAAAAACAAAGTCTCAACTGAATATGCTTGGTTCATCATAGTTCATGTCATGTTTTATAGGAGCCTATGGTGCTGCTGTGTTATATAAAAAGAAAGATGATGATTCTGTTGTGATATTAAAAGAAATTAATATGCATGATTTGAGTGCTGCTGAAAGACAGTTAGCTTTAAATGAGGTAAATGTACATGATTAGCCTTTTCTAAACCATTTTCATCCAATTTCTTCTTACATATTCAGAGAAACACTTTCTGTACACAAAACCATGAAAACACTTAATATCATTACAACAGAGCAAACAATTCCTTTTCAACAATATTTTTGATTGATTAAAATATTTTCACAACCTGGTAAAGAATTATATCAAATTTGAATTCCTCCAACATCAATAATACGATGTGTAAAATGCGTCCCTGCTAAGTAACTTGTAATAAACATATTGCAGAATTAGATAGTGTGTTTGAATCTCAATGCAGAAATAGCAAGATTGTTGATTACAACTCTTCATTTCTTTTGATTGATTGAATGATTTTGATAATTCAATGCTATGGAAAACTTATTTCTATCCTCACTAAAGGGTTAATTATAACATATTTATGTTATTTAGGTGAATGTCTTAGCCATGTTAGACCATCCTAATATTATCAGTTACTATGATAGTTTTGAAGAAGATGGTGTTTTAATGATAGAAATGGAATATGCTGATGGAGGGTAGGCTTATCTTCCTTATCAATTCTCTATTAAGCAAATTTAGGGAACTCACTAAACAAGAGCAAAAAACCCAGTCACAAAAAGATTCAATACAGTGTTCAATTGACGAGAGATCTTACACAGGGTTTGGATACAAAATCCATAACAGGACAGCTATTTTTGGAAATTTACTGATTTGTTAAGAAGCAGTTGTATGCAATATTATTTATATATATTTTATATACCTTATTTTTAGAACTTTAAAGCAGTTTTTATATCAACAAGAACATTTACATCTAGATGAGAAGGTTGTTTTAGAAATGTTTCAACAAATAGTAGCTGCTATAAGATATATACATGAACACAAAATATTACATAGGTAGGTCAATATTTCTCTTAACACTATCAAGATATGCTTTTGTTGGTTTTATGTAGATATTTATTGTTGGTACTGACTGTCTGTCAGTGTTTTAGTTAATCTGTTCAAGTCTTTCCGTAAACATTTCAGAATCTACAGTTTTTGATCGATTTTGTTGAAACGTCATATGTTATAAAATGAGGATCAAGTTTGCATTTCAGTGCCTTCTAATGATTAGAAACAGGTTTTTTCTATTTATACATCGATAAACTGAAAAATGTTCAGGTCATTCCTTATAATTTAATCAACTCGAATACATATTTGAATATTCATCTAAGATAGTAACGATTTAAGCCACAAAATTGGCGCCTAAATACATAAGATTTTAACATAAGGTTAATGAACTGATACTAACAATAGAGATTTCCTAGAGAACAGCCAATCAGCAATAAGTAGGTCACTTATTTATAGTCTACTGTCTACTACATGAAAGTTGACGGAGCGGCCAAATTGGAAGTTCAATTATTGAAAGACCAGTTCTAAATAAGTCCAGAATTCATGATATTGTTGGAATTTGGAGTGTGCACTTTTGAGGGAATTGGAAAATACCTTTATCATTCAGTGAAATGTCAATTTCGGCTTTGTTGACATTTGAAGGAACAACATTGATGCATAGTGGCCACGTCAATCAAACTCAATGATAAGAGTAATAAAACTGTGTGATGCCATGTAAATGGAATCGTGATATAATTATTGTTATTTAATCAGTTTATATTATAATTGTAGAGATTTAAAAACAGATAATATATTTCTAACTAAAGAAGGTATTATAAAAGTGGGTGATTTTGGTATATCTAAAATGATGAGTTCGGTACAAGGTGCTAACACTGTTTTAGGAACACCATATTATATTAGTCCAGAAATGGTGAGTATACTATAAACTTTATCTAATGTCAAATTATTTAGTTTTGTAGACGTTATTTTTGTTGTAATGATAAGTATACTATAGACAATTTATTCTGTAATGTTGCTATTATCAACTACCTGGCCACAAATTTTACACAATACTTTACATAAACAATTACATAAAAAACAATTATAGATATTTTAATTTATTATAGTGTGAAGGTAAACCATATAGTTTTAAATCTGATATCTGGGCACTAGGTTGTATTCTATATGAAATGGCATGTCTACAGAAAACATTTGAAGGAACCAATCTACCAGCTTTGGTTAATAAGATAATGAAGGTAAGAACCTTAAGTGTTTTGTACTTTTTTATAAAATCCACAAAAACTAGCTCATTGGAATCAGTCCAGAAAAGTCTCACTTTGGGAAGTCCCGATTTGACACTTTATTTGACATTTATAATGTTCTTTATAGAAACTAGAAAAACTTAAGAAATTTGATTTATGTTATTTTAGCCAATGCTGGGCAATAAAATCGATAAGATTCTATGTTCTTGTCAGCCAGTAAATTTAGAATACTGCAAACACTAACTTGAAGGTTCATAGTTTTACAAGTATATATCAACTATCTTTTATTAACTATTTGTAGGGTCAGTTTGCTCCAGTAAAAGAAATGTATAGTCCTGATTTCCGTGATGTGGTACTAGATATGTTACAGAATGATCCTGATAAAAGACCTGATGCCACAGAGTTAATGTACCATAGACTACCTCCTGTAAGTCTTTTGTATTGTTTAACATTTTAGCAGCAAATCTCTTTCTTGCTGCATACAAATTCTAATTCAATAGTTAGACTAATACTCTGAGATGTACTTTTCAGGTTAAAAGCAATATGCGGTGATTTATTGTTCCCAATTTATTGTTGAACATATGTAAACTTATAAAACTGACAAATATACTTGGCAAAGGGTCATATCTGATGAAAATTATGTTATGTGTTGCAGTTGATAGCTAAATATGATGAAGAAGTGTCTGATCCTGAAGAAGAATTGAATGAAAATGAAAATGCCAATAAAAAGATTAAAATGAGGTAATTTAATAATCTGATATAACTCTTACTTCTCAATAACATTCATTCTTTTCTAGTAGGTAGAAGTTCAAATATATAGAACAATGTTAACCTTATATTCTTTATTCTAAAACAACGTATCTGAAAAAGAGAAAGTATCTAGTGAATTGAAGCAACCTTCAACAACAACTCAGAGGGTATCGGAACTTACATTTGAAAAGCACACTCCAGTCCGAAACAATGTAATTAACATCTTAGGCTCATTTTTCCAGTTGGGTACCTTAGCTTAGCATGAATATTACCCAAACCTTTCTTCTTTAACTACTATAAGAGGTGGAAACTGTATTGATTAATTTCTCGGAACATTTTATTCCTTGAGGTTCAAAGTTATTTTCTTATGCAATATACAAACATATGAAAATATTTTGATATATATTTACTATCTTAGTAATATGCTTCTATTGAGAAATTCACTGGATATAATGCCCTATATTTTGGCTGTTCAGAAAAATCAAATGTGAAATTACTTGACACAAATAAAACTCTTTAAAAAACTTTGATTTTTCAATTTTAATTTTACTTAAATAGTCCTAAGAAGATGGAAAAGAGGTAAAATAAATTTAAACTGCCAGCATCATTTGAGTGAAAAATAGTCACCCCACATAATATAATATGTTATTTTGCACTAATATTAAAAAATTGTGGTTGATAATTTGGTTTGTGGTTGTAGTAACTTGTCTTTTCAATTCATAAGAGAATTTTCAGAAATTACGCTATTAAAGATCTATAATTTTTCCATACTGATTTCAGTTGAGAAATGTTTATAGCCAAACAAAATATTTTTTCTTTACGGATCCCCAAATAGTTGCCTTACCAATTAGAACTCCATTCCAATCATGTATAACACATGAAAGATTATATATCTTGCATCTAGTTTGTCTGCAATTTCTTAAAAATTTTTTAGTTAAGGTATCCAAAATAATATATTATGAAATCATTAATAATAACTGGATGTGAGCTTCGATTCTGAAACTGTCGCTAACTTCTGCTAAAACATAACTCTTTGGTGTGGCAGATAAAGCTTGCATTTTGTTTTATTGACTTGTAAAATTTCAAAAGAAAAACATTATGAATGTCCAGTTGAACTATGAACTAATTCAAATCATCAGCCAAACTAAAAAAAAATGTTTTTCTGATTATTCTCTTAATGCCATCACATGCACCTCTTTACTTTGGTCCAACACCAGGTCCTATCTTCTGTTTAAAATAGTAAGAAATATCACCTAATAACAAACTCTAAAAACATCCTTACTCTTTTCTTTTCTCTATGATTTTTCCAATCTTGATAATACTTGGTTTGCTGTTTATAAGAACTTTTAGAAACTGATAAGCAGTTATAATGATTTCTTTTATGTTTTTTTTAGATCTTATAAAAAACGTAATTAATTTTTACATTCATTAATTTATATTAAACAGTTATTAGTGTGTATGGACATTTATATGATTATTACACCTCTTGGCCTTACGAAAACTACATATAGTTCTTACATAGGAATAACACATACAAATCACTACCTCAACTTAATAAGTTCAATTTTGAAAAAGGCTATAATATTTCATCAAATTTTTTAAATCACATTTAAAATCATACTTCCAAAATTTGAAGTCTGATTTGAAGGCTTAGTTGAAATATTATATTTTTGTATGGCCTCTTGGCATGTGAAATATTGCATGCTCTTGAAATGGAATGAAATTAAATTTAAACTTCAGAATATCTAAGAACTTGATGATCTGGTTGTTAATCTCTATCTTGCATGCTTGAGATATGTATTAATAAAAATTGCTGGATGATTGTATATGGCAGGGCCACAAGTAGTGATTGAATCACTCTTGGGATTTCTTTGGTCAGACTTGATGATAGTTAATAATTATTTCAGACCTTGTCACAACAGACCATGAGAATAATGAGCTTTACATTTAGAATCTTGTTTAGGATATATTATTGTATATTGATTAGACCTGGTTGTAATGCTCGACTATTGCAATTGCTACTGATTAAAAATATATTCAAATCATTCAACATACTGATGAAACTGAATGATGACCAAAATCCTTTGTAATCAATAGGTAAATAGTTGAATTGTAGTAGTATTGTAGAAGTATAAGTTCTACTGATGTGCGACCTGAAACAAGTCCAAAATGAAGTCAGAAGCCTATAATCTAACTTTCACCATATCTTTGTTTTTAATAATAAATTTGTATTAAATATAGATCAGTAATGTATTATTTAGAAGCCTCAACTGGTGAATTAACATGTATTACTGATCTACCACCTCGACTTAAAATCAAAAATGTAAGTTGATGCTTTCAGGTTGATTTTCTGTTAAGGAAATTGGAGCCAATAGTGTACAGCGGCTTTTCAGTCTCACAGGCAATTCTGTCAATATGTACCATGATAGGAAGTTTTAAAGTGGGAGGAAGTAGGAACACCACTGTTCATGTGTTTGAAATATTCTGCATTTGAAGACCCTTTATTTTGATTATTGCTTCTTCTTCTTTTTTCATGAAATTGTAGACATGCCCGTCATGTGATTTTCATATTGAAAAGAGATACAGATAACTGAAGTTGAAAATTTTCAGCTTGAAAAACAAATATGATTTCTCTTTGATTCAGGCTGCTGTTGGTCCAGACCATGTTATAGTTGTTACTACTGAAGAACAGGTTTATACTTGGGGTGAAGGGTCAAAAGGTCAGCTAGGTCATGGGAATACAGAAAGTAAGGGCAGACCTGAATTGATAGAAGCTTTGAATGGTAAATGTATAGTTGCGTAAGTATACTTTGCCCTTAAAATGTTTCAAAAAGATTGTTCTTGAATGATTGTGCTGTGTCATTGGTTTTTGTTCAAGCAAGCTCCACTCATAACACATATGACTGGGGTATTGTTTATTGGTAGAAATGTTCTCCCAAGTTGCTACCAATTCAATTACAACCTCACTCAAATTTGTCATAACATCATTATATTTATAGAAGAAAAAATTATACTTAGTGCATGAAATGAATGATTATATCTATGAAAATATTTAATTTGAACTTTACAGAGCCCAATGTGGAGATGGTTTTAGTTTATTTAGGAGTGAGAATGGTTTAGTATTAACTTGTGGTGATGGATCAAAATGCATATGTTTTCAGTGTTTAGGCTAAATTTGTCCTACGATGATGCATAAAAGATCAAGAATTTTGATAAGATAGTCTCAGCATCCCTTAAGAAAATGGAGATCTCTGTCATAGACGGATGCTAAAGGATATACGCATAGTCATCTAAATATTCACATGACAATCTTTCCTAAATATTAAGTGACAATGATCCTGTGGTCATAAATAGAGAGTAATTATATTTTATATTATACAGTGTTGATGTAGTTGCGGTAACTTGTGGACCTAATCATGTTGTTGGTGTTAGTAGTACAGGGGAAGTTTATACTTGGGGTCAAGGGTCAGATGGTAAATTAGGACTGGGTGATGATGAAAACTAGTAAGTTATTTGATTTGATATAAGAAGTAGCTCTTATTATCTTTTTTCTCTCCAGCCCCACTAGGATTATAAAGAGATTTAGTTGTCTAAATATTTGCCATACCAGCTATACAAATCACTTTCAAAATTAAGTTCTGTTATCATCACCAGGTTGTTGTTAACTTTCTCATGGTCACAGGCAGCTAATTATTATGATATCATTCCTTAGTAAGCTTAATTAAAAGCTTAATAATCACCATTTCATTTTATCATTATAATTTATAGTTGTCAACCAATGTTAGTGACTATAGATGAACCAGTAGTATGTGTAGATGTAAGATGTGGTAATGATGGTACTATGATACTAACTGATATTGGTAGTGTTTTTGCTTGTGGAAGCAATGAAAATAATAAACTTGGTCTAAATAACAGACAAGGATTTTTAATGGCTATGAAAAATATTTTTAATAAGGTAAATCATATTTTAGATTTGTCTTTTTTATTGTGTCTGACACGGAATAACAGATTGTCCATAAATGTATTGTTGCTGCATTTGCATTCATGATTGAACAGTTCATGCATTTGGATGACATTTAGTCATATACGTATGCCTGATAGCATCAAGTAATGAGTAATGATCACTCAATAAGATATGCATATTGTGTATGTCATGCTATATAGCGGTTTACCAATATATTGTGCCAGAACTAGTTTACAATAAAGACCAGAATGAGAAAAGAATAATAAAGTATACTTATATATAATTTTTGATGGATATTCTCTGATAATTTTATTATAGACTGAAGTAGAAGGTAGAAATGTATTAACACCAGTACGATCACTAGCTAGACATCGTGTTATAGATATCTGTATGGGAGCCTATCATTCAGCTGTCATAGTAGAATCAGGTCATGTCTATATGTTTGGTAGAAACTCAGAAGGTCAGCTTGGTACTGGTAACATTAAACCATCTAATACCATAGTAGAAGTTAAAGCTCTTCATGATAAATGTATCAATGTAAGTTACAAACTCTTCATAATTAATGTATCAATGTAAGTAACAAACTCTTCATAATTAATGTATCAATGTAAGTTACAAACTCTTCTTTATAAATGTATCAATGTAAGTTACGAACTCTTCATGATAATTGTATCAATGTAAGTTACAGACTCTTCATAATAAATGTATCAATATAAGTAACAAACTCTTCATAATAAATGTATCAATATAAGTAACAAACTCTTCATGATAAATGTATCAATATAAGTAACAAACTCTTCATAATAAATGTATCAATATAAGTAACAAACTCTTCATGATAAACGTATCAATATAAGTTACAATATATTCATGATAAATGTATCAATATAAGTAACAAACTCTTCATAATAAATGTATCAATATAAGTAACAAACTCTTCTTTATAAATGTATCAATGTAAGTTACAAACTCTTCATGATAAATGTATTAATGTAAGTTACAAACTTTTCATGATAAATGTATCAATGTAAGTTACAAACTCTTCATAATAAATGTATCAATGTAAGTTACAAACTCTTCATGATAAATGTATTAATGTAAGTTACAAACTTTTCATGATAAATGTATCAATGTAAGTTACAAACTCTTCATAATAAATGTATCAATGTAAGTTACAAACTCTTCATAATAAATGTATCAATGTAAGTTACAAACTCTTCATAATAAATGTATCAATGTAAGTTACAAACTCTTCATGATAAATGTATCAATATAAGTAACAAACTATTCATAATAAATGTATCAATGTAAGTTACAAACTCTTCTTGATAAATGTATTAATGTAAGTTACAAACTTTTCATGATAAATGTATCAATGTTAGTTACAAACTCTTCATAATAAATGTATCAATGTAAGTTACAAACTCTTCATGATAAATGTATCAATATAAGTAACAAACTCTTCATAATAAATGTATCAATGTAAGTTACAAACTCTTCATGATAAATGTATCAATATAAGTAACAAACCATCCATAATAAATGTATCAATGTTAGTTACAAACTCTTCATAATAAATGTATCAATATAAGTAACAAACTCTTCATGATAAACGTATCAATATAAGTTACAATATATTCATGATAATTGTATCAATGTAAGTTACAAACTCTTCATAATAAATGTATCAATGTAAGTTACAAACTCTTCATGATAAATGTATCAATGTTAGTTACAAACTCTTCATAATAAATGTATCAATGTAAGTTACAAACTCTTCATGATAAATGTATCAATATAAGTAACAAACTCTTCATAATAAATGTATCAATATAAGTAACAAACTCTTCACGATAAACGTATCAATATAAGTTACAATATATTCATGATAATTGTATCAATGTAAGTTACAAACTCTTCATAATAAATGTATCAATGTAAGTTACAAACTCTTCATGATAAATGTATCAATATAAGTAACAAACTATTCATAATAAATGTATCAATGTTAGTTACAAACTCTTCATAATAAATGTATCAATGTAAGTTACAAACTCTTCATGATAAATGTATCAATATAAGTAACAAACTCTTCATAATAAATGTATCAATATAAGTAACAAACTCTTCATGATAAACGTATCAATATAAGTTACAATATATTCATGATAATTGTATCAATGTAAGTTACAAACTCTTCATAATAAATGTATCAATATAAGTAACAAACTCTTCTTTATAAATGTATCAATGTAAGTTACGAACTCTTCATGATAAATGTATCAATATAAGTAACAAACTATTCATAATAAATGTATCAATGTTAGTTACAAACTCTTCATAATAAATGTATCAATATAAGTAACAAACTCTTCATGATAAATGTATCAATATAAGTAACAAACTCTTCATGATAAACGTATCAATATAAGTTGCAATATATTCATGATAATTGTATCAATGTAAGTTACAAACTCTTCATAATAAATGTATCAATGTAAGTTACAAACTCTTCATGATAAATGTATCAATGTAAGTTACAAACTCTTCATAATAAATGTATCAATATAAGTAACAAACTATTCATAATAAATGTATCAATGTTAGTTACAAACTCTTCTTTATAAATGTATCAATGTAAGTTACAAACTCTTCATGATAATTGTATCAATGTAAGTTACAAACTCTTCATAATAAATGTATCAATGTAAGTTACAAACTCTTCATGATAAATGTATCAATGTAAGTTACAAACTCTTCATAATAAATGTATCAATATAAGTAACAAACTATTCATAATAAATGTATCAATGTTAGTTACAAACTCTTCATAATAAATGTATCAATGTAAGTTACAAACTCTTCATAATAAATGTATCAATGTTAGTTACAGACTCTTCATGATAAATGTATCAATGTTAGTTACAAACTATTCATAATAAATGTATCAATGTTAGTTACAAACTCTTCATAATAAATGTATCAATATAAGTAACAAACTCTTCATGATAAACGTATCAATATAAGTTACAATATATTCATAATAAATGTATCAATGTTAGTTACAAACTCTTCATAATAAATGTATCAATATAAGTTACAAACTCTTCTTGATAAATGTATCAATGTAAGTTACAAACTCTTCTTTATAAATGTATCAATGTAAGTTACAAATTCTTCATGATAAATGTATCAATGTAAGTTACAAACTCTTCATGATAAATGTATCAATGTAAGTTACAAACTCTTCATAATAAATGTATCAATGTAAGTTACAAACTCTGCATGATAAATGTATCAATGTAAGTTAAAATATATTCATGATAAATGTATCAATGTAAGTTACAATATCTACTTGAAAAATATTTTGTTGTCTTCATGATAAATATATAGATATAAGTTACTATGTCTTTATGATATGTATGATTTACCTAATTGAGCTGTAAAAGATTAGAGATGATAATTTGAACCATAGTAAACTGATATTTCTGATATTTACAGAAAGTTGTATGTGGTGAACATTTTACAGTAGCAAGTACTAAAGATCATGAACTATATTATTGGGGTTTACGGTATACAGTACCTAGTTCATTAGATGATAGTACTACTAGTAGATCTAGTACTAATGGTAGTTTATCTAATACCTCTAATAATACTGGTAAAGATGATATTAGACCAGCAGGTGGAAAGTCTGGTCATCATAGACAATCTAGTAGTGCCAGTGTTAGTAGTGTGACCGGTACCGAATCACTAACACAGACTACCAGTCATGATAGTAAGTACTACTGTACCTTAGTCTGTTTTATCTTTGGTGTGTGATTTTGGTTTGTGTTTTACCCTTTCTTTAAAGCTCGATTGTTCTAAAAGGAAAAAAGAAAACATCCATATCTTACAAACAAATGAAAGTTCTTGAAGATTCTGCCATATCGTTTGGCACCAATTTTAACCAGATGATCTCTAAAATCAAGAATGTTGCGTCTATTCTGGCACACAAACTACAGCTCAAACACCAAAGACTTCTGAGTACTGAAGGGCGCACAACACATGTTTAGAGTAACTTAACATTTACAAGTTTACTAGCGCTTGTTATAAATGAAAAAACAATTTGCTATATATCTTTTTGTAAGGCTGAACACTTACATCAATTTATTTATTTATTGTTGATTCAGGTGGTATAGTTTTGAATAAAGAAGCAAATGATACTACTGGACAAATCAGTGGTGAAAGTCAGTCCCCAGCAGATAGTGGTGCACCATCAACCTGCGATAGCTCATCTGGTTTTAGACCTCTCAGTAAGTCAGCTCAACATAGCACATACTCGCTTTGAAGTTTAGAGTGCATAATTGATTTTCTGCAAGCTGTTGGAATTGGACATGATGTTCATTATTGAATGTGTCGTATTGAAAAAAGAGAGTAGTTTTTCCTGGTGCACATGCAATATTTCTCTCATTGTACATCACATATCATTGTGTTCCTTGGCTAGTAAGATGCACAACAGATGTAATGTTCATCTATATTATATTCTCTATCATTACAGGCAGTGTGCCTCATAGATCACTTAGTGCTGGTAGTAGAGAGAATGTAAAAGATAAAGATAAAGATAGTAATAAAGATGAATCTGTTATATTGTTAGAACCTAAAGAACTAATCAGGTATTTATCATACAGAATCAATACAGGATTTATACAGATTCCACAAAGCAAAAAACATTTTACTCAAAGGATCAACTATACTGAAGTGACATATCTGTTTGATATGAAACAGTTCATGTTTGATATAAAACAGTTTATGTTTGATATAAAACAGTAAATGTTTGATACATTTTCTTACCTTAACGTGTTCTTGTAGTAGACATTAACTTTTAACTAGGCCTTAAATCTCCCTTTACATTTGAATATCCAATACATATTGGTTATGAAATTTTATCTTTGCATTATCTTCAACATTCCTATATCCAACTTAATGAGATTTATTGCATTTCCAAGGTGGAGAGTCCAAGTCTTTCAAAAGCTACTGCTCCAATAAACTTTTTAGGCTACTAGTATAGTTTTGTTGTCCCATTTCAGAATAAAACAAGTCAATGAGAAAGTATTACTGGGCAATATTTTTATTCATGGTGAAAATTTATTTGTTCAAGTTGAGACCACAGCCCCACCTCCTCGTCGGAAGGCATTGAAGAAACGCAGTTTAAGGTAAGGACTGCTCTTTGTTGAATCATGTATAGCATGTTTGTGATTCATTGATTTTACAAATCCTTGGAGTTGGTAACAGAAATTCTAAAAATATGACATTTGAACAGTTAAATTAGCAACAATAGTAACAGATGATCTCTTAAATGTCTATGATTAATTTTTGTGTAATTCATTCTACCTCTAATAGAAGAAGATTGAATGTGGGGGTTGATGGGACAAGAGAAGTTTCAGCATCAAGTAGAGAAGGTGGTGATGAATATTCTTCAGAAGCCTCGGAAATAGATTCTCAAGGTTCAGTAAGTATCCTTTATGTACAGTAAATGTACCAGTTTTGTTGATTAAAGCCTGAGAATTCATCAATTGTAATTGGAAAATGAACAATTGTAATGATGATGTTTATCAATGTAATTATTGTAAATTCAAGCCTGGTTTACGACAAGAATGGATTAATTCTAATGATGATAATGATGTTTATCAATGTAATTATTTTAGATGCTAACTGGTTTACAACAACAATTGATTAGTTGTAATGATGATAATGATGTTTATTAATGTAATTATTGTAGATTCCAGCCTGGTTAAGACAACAATTGATTAGTTGTAATGATGATAATGATGTTTATCAATTTAATTATTGTAGATTCCAGCCTGGTTAAGACAACAATTGATTAGTTGTAATGATGATAATGATGTTTATAAATGTAATTATTGTAGATTCCAGCCTGGTTAAGACAACAATTGATTAGTTGTAATGATGATAATGATGTTTATCAATGTAATTATTGTAGATTCCAGCCTGGTTTACGACAAGAATGGATTAATTCTAATGATGATAATGATGTTTATCAATGTAATTATTTTAGATGCCAACTGGTTTACAACAACAATTGATTAGTTGTAATGATGATAATGATGTTTATTAATGTAATTATTGTAGATTCCAGCCTGGTTAAGACAACAATTGATTAGTTGTAATGATGATAATGATGTTTATCAATGTAATTATTGTAGATTCCAGCCTGGTTAAGACAACAATTGATTAGTTGTAATGATCATAATGATGTTTATCAATTTAATTATTGTAGATTCCACCCTGTTCAAGATAGGAATTAATTTACTGTAATGATGATAATGATGTTTATCAATGTAATTATTGTAGATTCCAGCCTGGTTTACAACAAGAATTGATTAATTATAATGATGATAATGATGTTTATCAATGTAAATTTAGATTCCAGCCTGGTTAAGACAAGAACTAATTAATTGTAATGATGAAGATAGTAATGATGTGTATGAAGCTGATGATACTAGTGATCAATCTAGTGGTGATGAAACTAGAAAAGCTATTATTGATAGTTCCATGTCAAGTATTCAAGTTAATAAAGACCTTAGTCCTGGTAAACATCTCCTGCTCTCACTTTCTACCTTTGACTAAATGTTTAATTTTATCACACAACAGTTTTGTTCTCCGGTTCATAACACAGGTTCATAAAATCGATATGATCTCGTAGCACAGGTAGATAAACATGCAAATTAGTCCAAGGCTTTGGAAATATTAAATCTGGCAACTCAATTCATTAATTTCATTATATGTAACCACACGTTTAAGATCTTATATTATTTATTAAATAGGATCAAACTTATCAACTTTCCATTTGAATCTTCACTCAAGCTCTTATTAACTGCAGAACAGTCAGTTACATCATTAGAATTTGAATTCATTTGCATGGTTATGGCCTTATTATTCAAGCCATAATGTGTTATTATTCATAAGTCAATTTATTGATTTTGTTTTATTTGAAGCCAAATCACCCAGTAAGAGAAGAATTAAATTTGAAGATACACAGAAGTTTTTAAGAACACCACGTGAAGTAGTTACAAAGGTACAAAGATTTTTAGCAAAGCGATTATATATATATTTATTATATATGATGGTTTGATCTTTTGCCTATGTTCTCTTTTAAAGGGACAGGCTGGCATTCCATTTGAAAAATCATACCTCAGTCTCAGAAAAGAGAATTTCTTAAGTAAGCTTATCAGTAATAGTTCACAGCTCACAATTTGAGCATTTAAATCCATGTGTGTCCAGAAGTATCTGCATTTGAAAATTAAAAAGACCAATTCTCTTTTTTTGACATGTTTAGAAAGTGAAATTCCTAGTATTATTTATAAATTTAAATATGTTTGAAGGAACTTATAGTATTTCTAAAGGGTCTTCCCTCTAAAAGACCTTTAAATCTGTTTTTGTTTCCTTATCCCATTTAACATTATTGTCCATGTTTTGTATTCATGATGATTCATTTAGATTTTCCCATTATTGTCTGTAATGCACGTCTGTCATTTAGTTAGATATTCTGAATCTTTATGACAATTTTTAATTGTGTTAACAGGATACCACTACAAGAAATCGTACACTGTCTAATAATAGTACAGCAGAAAGTGGTGCTGATGGTCTAGTTTATGATTCTAGTTCTAGTGAACCTGTACAGGGTAAAATGTAAGAAAAATTTATATAATTGAAAAGGAATTTCAGAATACAAAAATTGAAAACATTTATAAAGATATAATTGAGCTGAGCCTCCGCTGAAAGTGCTGAAATACTTATAATCATCGCAAAAATCTTTAGCTACATATATAATGCTTCCTTGGGTGCTTGCCCATACAAAAAGTAAAAATAAATCTGTAGAGTAAGCATTATTAAAGTTTGAGTATTAAACCAAGGAACCAACGAGAGTCAAACCACCCTATTTTCTGAAAATTTTCTTTTAGTACTCCAAGAAATACGATATTAAAAGTTTCTACAGTAGCACCCAGGAAAACATCAGCTTCATCACTAGTCAAACCTAAATCAGCTCAAAGTGTCAAATCATCAGCTAAAATAAAGTCCCATGGTAAAGGAAAAGGAAAAGGGTAAGCATAAAGAATGGTTTTTCTGGAATTTGTATTTTTTTCAGGGACATTTTTGTCTTGAATTACAGGAACTTCAAATGTCATTGGGGCAAATCAAAATCTATGTGGACCTTAAAACCTTACAATTGTAACATTGTACACAAATGATATACATGAATATAGGTTTACAATCCTATCATTACAAATATAAGTATAGATGCCAATGTGTTATTGTAGGTTTGATGCTGATATAAAGGAACAATTAGAAGCTAGAGGTTTTGTTTCTGATGTTACTGTTAAGAGAAGAGAGGAAGCACTTCTTGTAAGTAATCAATCATTAACAAGAAAAAAGTTTTGATAGAGGAATAATGTAAATGTACACATTAAAAGTCCAGTCACACTGGAAAGGCGTCCTTACTGAGTATCTACGGCAATAGAAAATTAGTGTGTTAAAAGCGTGAAGGCAGCTTCAGATATCATAAAGTG